AACTCATGGCCAACTATTGTTCGCAGCATAAAAGCTGATTTTATCAGTTTTGGTTTGCATTCCGCCATTATCCATGTCACAATTTCAACTAACACCTCTTCTTGACATCCGTGTCACACTATTACATGGTTTTCCTTTTTGTTTTCAATCGGGATAGCCACCAAACATCAACCATCCCTCTCCAAATATTGTCGATTGCTCAAAATTTCATCCCCTTACTAGTCCTCTACCTCCTTGTCAAACATGCTTCCCGAACACCTTCTAGGAACCTTAAATCAGTATCATTTATTATTTTAGCACGATAAACCCTAGAATTTTTCGGATTTTGGTTATCTTATCCAAATCCAAATTTCCAAAATAAAATAAAATAAATTTTTCACCATTCCCAGGTCATTCCTATCGCAATTCCTAACCCTAACCCTAAAGTTAAAAAAATTAACTTCCCTGCCAGCTACCTCCACCAAAAATCCACCTTTACACTTTCCTCGAAACCCTAAACCTCCACCAACCTTGAATTGCAATCTTACATTAGCCAGAAACTTGATTGAGATAAAATAACACAAAACTGCTTATGAGAAATCTGCAAAGAGGTTCAAAACTTTCTATGAAAAATATACAGTAGGAAAACCTCCAATTATAATAAAGACTTTTGCCACCTTCGAAAGGAGAAAGTCCGGAGAGGTCAACTGTAGCCATAACGGTGACTAGCTAGATTAAAAAGATGAAGTGAATCCCTTCTACCAAATATTTTTCATTGATGAAATCATTATCCTAAAAATTTGGCATGGAATCAGAGGAAAAGCCTGGACCTTGGAGTGAATGCAAATTTATGGGATTTAGATAGTCACAATAATCTGGAAGATTTCATCGAGTATTTCCAAGTAGTGGAACGAGTCTTTGAATATACATAAATTCCATCGGACGGAATGGTGAAGCTAGCCACCATAATGGGTCTATTTAAAGCAGTTTCAAAAGTTTGAAGAAACAATTGTAAAGCCACTGCAGAATAAGTTGTTGTTCAAAAAACTATCGTGGCTATTACAAATTTAAAAAAAAAAAAAAGTTAGACCGTAGTTTTGTAGCAGTCATTGCATTTAGCCAGATCTGATGGCAAAACACAACTTTCAACTACAACTTTTTGAAAAAATAAGCAAAACGCAGTTTTGTCAAACATAAAAAAATGCAGTACTACATCACGCCACCGCCCTAAACACAACTCAAGATAAAGAAAAATGTATCTTTATAGTGGGAAAACCTGAAACAACTTCGACAGTGAGAGAGAAGGGTTTAAATTCTGTATCTTCCAAGAAATAAAGAGAAACACAGCGCAAGTCTTACCAACACATTACAGGTAGGATATGTTCTTGAGATTTCACCAGCTACAGCAAAAAGATCTCTCAATAAAATAATACAAAACTGTGTTTGAGCAGCTTATGTTGAAGTGTGGGCTAGTAAAGCCTAAGGACACCATAGCTCAATAATGAGATCTTCCATTGGCAATGTGTTATTGCAGCCTTATTGGACATTACAAGACATCTAAACTCTAGCCCTAAAGATGGAGAGACAACTCAGCAGTATCAGGTCCAGACCACTCTTCAAACAGAGTTCAACAATTGGATCGGGCATTAAGAGTATACCCAGTGATACACCCAAGCTGACATAATCAGAGGGGGAGCACATACAGAGTGGAGAAAATGTGGAGACCACCAATACTCCCAAATTCATCTCCACTACTAAATGCTTCAAGTGTCATGGATTTTGCCACGTGACGTCAGATTGCCCAAATAGGAGAGTGATTGCTTTCACTAAGCAGGGAGCATTTGAAGAAATGGATAGTGACACGGAAGAGGATGTAGACTTCGAAGAAGGGTCTCAACTTTCAATCGACAAAAAAGAGACGTTACTGATTCAAGTTGAGCACATGAGAAACTCCAGCTACATTAACATTCGTTGTTCTATAAGGTAGTGAGTCTGAGACAATGAGCATTCAGATTGAGGATATGGTGCCACGAACTATTTTTTTTGCAAATGTTAAGTGAAACATCAGTGGGATTAGCATTGGTTGTCCAAAAGAGTCATGAGTTCAAGAGCCGACATCAAAGACATGGCAAGCCAAAATAAGAGAATTATCAGACACATTAGTCTATCTCATAGTTGCCCCTACTGAGGGAGGTCCAACATATCAATGATGAAAATTTTTTGAGCTATTTTTAAAATATTATATGAAGTCATTAAGTATTAAATTCAGTTCAGCAGTGCACCCACCGACAGCTAATCAGACAAGAGGGATGAACCACAGCGTTGAAACCGCTTTAACAACTTTGTGGGAAAGAACATGCTACAGTTGATCCAAATCCTTCCAGAGAAGAATAATAGACTTCTTCTGAGGAGTTGTCATTGAGAGTTGCCCAGCCTACCATAAATTTCGTTCTGGAAACAAACTTGTTTATCATATATACTCAGTCAAGTTTGAGGTGTGGGAGAAGCATGTCATAGATTTAATTGCTCCAGACTTGGATCATGAGAACACACGTCTATGTGTATTTCGAGCTCGGATTGTGGCAAAGAATAATGATTATTTATCCTATCAAGGCATACTTTATAAGGACGTATGTGTTTTGGAGTTACCTAAAATGGACGTGAGCATAATTTTTTGCAGTGAGATTTCCTTAGCCACAGCAAGACGATGATTTGTTTATGTTAGTGGTAGTTTGATTCCAGAAACTTCTAGTTAACGGTAAGAAACCTCTCCTAATCGAAGAGAATGATGTGGGAGTGTCCACGAGTTACAGGATTGCAGATCCCACACTCCTGAATTGTGTGGGTCCTGCGAAATTGCGGAACAGGCATTCTATGATACAAGAAAACCGAATGAACAATTATGGGTCTATTAGCGATTTCTGATGGAATTCTTACCTTTTTCTAGTCTATTTCCTATTTATTTTTTTTATAATTAAGGTTCCATTCTAGCAGGAACCATAAATATATTATTATTTGCTATTTAGGAGGAATTTTGCCCTATTTTATATATTTTCAAGATATTTTCTCCCGGTCAACTCTATTAAAGTGTTGCATCCTTAGATTTCTTTCAGACGGTGTCTGTAAACTAATAGAATCGAGATGGTGATCTCTCTCAGATGCTTATAGGTCTCCTTTGTCATCCAACTCGCAGACGACTGTTGTTCCTACCAGGAAAGCTGCTTTTATCAGTTTTGATTCACAATCCAGCCAAATCTACCCCAGTTTTAGCTGACACCCCTCCTCAACATTCGTTCCACACTATTTCATCATTTTCCTTATTGTTTTATAGTCGGGACAGCCACCAAACAATGACTATCCCTCTCCAAATAACACCAATAGGCAAAAATTTTATCCTCTTACCATTCCTCTAGCTCCTCCCAATTAGACCCGAGATCCTTCTAGTATTTTTCATTCATGTTAATAAGAAATGGCAATAGAATTCAAGAATCATACTTTTGGGGTTGTATTTGCCCCAAGTGCCTCGAGGTGGAAAAAATTATAGTAAATTACTAAGTTGTGATTTGCATATCCCTTTATTTTTCAAAAGATAATGTTTGTAATAACAATGCCCACACAAAATCTCGAAATTAAGATAAAGAAGAAATTTGGCATCTATTAATTTCACAGAAATAGATGACAATAACATAAACTGTAAATGAAACTAAAATTAGTTAATTGCTCAAAACTTATGAGAAGTAACTAACAAATTAATACATGATTACAGGTAAAATTTTAATTCATTTAAAGGAAATCAATAGATGGTTAGAAGAATACTCTAGGATATTATATTGTTGCACCTTACTAAGATGAAGCTCCATGCATAAAAGTCTATCTTTGGAAATAATTTTCCATTGGAAAACTAGCATTTTCATTCATTAGCTCTACTATTCTGAGAGTTGAATAGACCATAAAAACCCATCAATAACTCTTGCCAAAAGAATGGCACTCCCCAATAAATTTAAATTAAAACAAGCCACATATGTTCGTTATAATTTCAATATGTGATACTAACTAAGAAAATAGAAAAACATTTTGAAACTAAAACCATTTAAAAACAGGATGAAGAATCTAGAAAGCACTTGTAAAATACAAAAAAGAAAGGAAGTGATGCCAGAATTAACCCAAATTGCAGTTGAATGAAAATATTATTATTGAAAATTTAGGACGGGTAACAAGCAAAGACTCTTAAAATAAGAAAATAGCAACACAACACAAATAACACCCTAGGGAGAGGATGAAAAGTGATAGGTTGCGGCTGAGATAATGGGATCAGGGATTCATAGGTCATGAAAGGGACTGGAAGGTGGAAGTTGCGAGTAGGAGGGTGCAGGATAAGTAGGCGGCAACAAAAATGGGGTAGGAGGTTGGAAGTTGGGAGCAGAAGGGTGCAAGAGAGGTAGGCAGCGGCAAAGGAAGGGTGTGCAAGAAAGGCGGCAGTAAGCGGTAGGTTGGATGGGGTTGCACAGCAAGTAGCAGACTGATTGGGGTTCGGGCAGCAAGTAGGAAGAGGGAGGGGAAGAAGATAACCAAAGTTAATCCCCACCTTGGAGTAGGATACAACTGGAGCACCACTTGTCCTCGAATACAATCCTAGAAGGAGAAAGACGCCGACAACAGAAATTTCTAAAGCAAAAAAAATTGAATCCTAGTATAAGGAAAATGACATATACATATAGTAGTAGATAAATAGAAGGGGAGAGACCCTCCTCTTGGGCGGTAACCCTACCCTAGTCACCTGGGCCGCTGGCCCCCATGCACCCCTTGTTGAACCGATTCACTTCCCCAGTTGGTTCAGCCACTGGTTCAACTAGGACAACCCCCACGTCAGGAAGGAAAGAGGGGGAAAAAGGAAATACATTAAACAAATAAAAAATAGCCTTAGTTCATACTACAATTCAACTTAAGCGAAAATATATCCAAGATTTCAAGATATGCATATATAACAAAACCTAGCAAAGCAAAGCAAATATTATATTTACCTCTCCATGTAATGGTTCTCCCAAGACACTTGGATAGGTAATCGGCGAATAACGAAGATTTGTTATGGGTTCACCCGGTACATTCGGGTAGGTTTGAGACAAAAAACGATGAGTTCCAAAAGAAGGACAATGAAGGTGTTGATCCAACATTTGCATGTGTGAGGCCACCATATCTCTCCTTCTATGTATCTCCAAAATGATCCCAAACAAAGACTCATCATCAGGAATGTTCTCCACAAATTGCAATCCACTTCGGATCAACTCGTAAAAGGGAATGAGGCATCTATCTTCATCAACCAATTTCCATATCACATTCAAGCAAATGTGCATCCATTCAAGGGAAGGCCTTTCATGCTTCCAACCCTTTATAGTATCAGACTCATCAACGCCTGGATATCTTTGACCCCAGTTAACTAGCCAATTAGTCATGTGAGAGAAAATCTCTGCATTAGTTATAGGCTTTAGATTGGATTCCAGAGCTGTGAGAATAATTTTACTTGCTAATTGACGTAGATAGCCTATAGCAACAGCTCTAACTGGCTGATTCACCTTTGCAGTAGAAAGTTGACTAAGGCCGGCAAGCTCAGAAGGCTTAACTGGTGAGAGACTTGGCCCGGAAGGCTGATCGGTCGTAGACTGGGTAGGGGATCCAATGCCATGCATTGATGGAAGGGGAGAAGCTGGAGTAGATACAAGGGAGCTTGAAGCATTAGGATTTGAAGAAATAAGAGAAGTCGTCATCGAACCTACAACATTAGAAAAGCTTCCTGCCATTGTTGGACTTCCAGGCCCAGAAGATCCCTCTGCAGAGGAAATAGTGGAAAGGAGCGATGGAATGAACGAATCCCACTTGATATAACCTACACTGGACAAGCTTCTTAATGCAAATAGAAGAAATTCGGATTGTGGCACATGGGCGCAGCACTGGACCACAAATGCTATTAGAACTGATTCTGTCACAGTACGCAGTTGCTCTGGATCCTGAAAGATTCAAGTATGAACCACAATACATATTGAAGTGAAAAAGAACAACACTAGAAGAGGATGATTACTTGGAACTGCCCTTGCAACTGCTCAAAATCTAATAGAAATTGTTCGTTTCGAGGAGGAAGCTCTCTGTTAGGAGCAGTTACTCTCTTCAGCATCTTGTTTCTGATGGTATTGATCATTCATTGATTAGTAAATTTACAGTAATAATTGTTCTATAGGAAAGATATAAAATTATAAATAAAGAAAAACAGCAACGTTCTTTACAAAATTCAACTCTTAATCTAAATACACCCAAAATGATGTTTTTACCACCCATAACATACATTTGCATATATTTGATCTTGCTTGAAGTTTAATCATCTACAATCTATATTACAATTAATAAACAGTTAATACTCCACCAAAAGACATCATAACGATTTAAATATTTTAGAACATATAAAACCATCTCAAAATTCTCACACCACATCCAATTGTAGAAGTGTTTATAATTGCAATAAGCAACACAACCCCCAAAACAATGAATACAACATCCTAAGAATAAAAAGAATGTTGACAAATGCAATACAAAGTCCTCAGTAAAAATTAACATCAAGCATATAGCCAAACGTCTCCTTCTGAGCATATGCTTTAAATGGAGGAATAAAACATTCAATGGTCAATCAAATTAGTATAAAATTTTGTAATTTTAAAAATAAATTCAAACTGAATTCTTAACTCATTTAATAAATCAAAAGCATTAAATTTTAAATAAAACAAATTAAAGGTACTCTTTTTCTGGTAACCAAAAAAATTTGCTTTCTCTAGGCAACATTTATCACTTATTCGGTAAAAGTACATTCTAGGTGATACCAGAGTTAACTCAAATCAAAAAAAGAAAAGCAAATGCTTTACTAAGAACAAAAGGATAGTTAATTTATCTGATTATACACATAGTACATTCTAGGTGCGAAGATAGCCAATCACTCTTTTTAAAGATTCTAAACAGTGGTAAAATAACTGGAAAACTTATTATCTGATTATGCTTCCCGATTCCAATTGGGGTGCCAGTGCAACATAAACTAGGTTAAGAAAAAAAAGTATTCGAAGGGTGAAAATGGTTCAAAAACATTATAAACTATCCCTTCAAAAAGCATTAATCATTGCAAGCAAAAAATAAAATAAAATTAAACTTCCTACGAACCAAAGCAACTGACTGCCGAAAGGAGCAAACTTACGCGGATTCTTGGGGCATATCTTCAGATTTCTGCCGTGAATTCCTCTACCATAAAAGAACAAAGCAAAGAAATTAAATCGAAAGAACTAAGATTGGGAGTTAAGGGAGGAAGACAGAGGCGAGGAGATAAGGTAATACCCCAAGATAAATGTTGAAGAGATCGACGATGGTAATCCTGCCTGGGTGGAGCTGAACAGGCCTGGAAGTCCTCTGGTTCTGGTCCATTATTGCCGTCGTTCCCCTCCCTTCTCGAGAGATCCAGTCTTGAGACTTCCAAGGGATTCTCTCGCCGGTCGCCCCCAATTCACTGAACAGCGTGGAGCAGTGATTCGTGGGGTTTGATCGTTTGACACCGGGTGCTGTGGACCGGGAACGGAAAAATTATTGCTGGTCATAAAAAATTAAAAAATAATGACAATGTGGGAACCGATTTGGTCGATGCTTATCGCAAAAATTTATTTTCTCGTATTATTTTGAATATTTTTTACGTTATTTATGTATTATTGATGTGTTATTAAAGGTATAAGAATATTCTCCCACTCAATAACACACTAATAACACATAATAATACATAATAATACATAATAATACATTAATAACACAAATAACACAATTATACATTCTCTAGCCTCCGATATAACACGTGAGGAATATGTCATGCATATTATACCGCGGGCTAGAGGAGTGTTATAAGGCGGCTGTATAACACGTGGGGCGGCATTATAGCCCTGTCGGCACTATTTTTGGTGTGGGGTTTGCCCGTAAGAAGCTGTCGGTCATCGGAATTTGAAATCCCGTTGCCCGCTTCGGAAGGACGTTTTAAAAAATTTAGTTTTGAAAAAGATGAAGTCAAACTGACCCCATAATTTTCATAGTTTAAATGGAAGAGCACTTTATCTCAAATCAGGTATCTAGCCCGAAGGAGGAACGCAAGAATTGAGAGGGAGGCTCGATCAAATAAACTAAAGAAAGTTATGACATCCGTTTGGTCTGCGAAACCAATGTATTGGCCGACAAGTTCCCCTATT